ATTCCTCCTGCAGAAGGACAGGCCCGCCTTAAACCAACATCGACTCGGGACATCAGAATGTACCTACATGTCCGTCGGACCGGGCTGCACCGACACACGGAGTCGGAATCGAACCGCTTCGGTCGCGCCAGAATGCACAACAGCGCCATGTACGCCTTAGGTCGGGCGTGTCCCCTACAGGCGGATTTTGGGCACAAGCCTGCAACAAGTACCCCAACATATTAAAACAAATAATCAATTTTTATCCTCGCAAGCAAAGCCACAAAATACTGACAACATATCCGCTTCCCCTCACGGGGGCTATAATTGACACATTAAAACGGGAATGCGCAGTGTTGGTCGGCCGGGTAAATGTCACCACCTTCTGGGGGGAGGGAGGAGGAGGAGGAGGGTGAAAACATAAAGAATGTGCTGCGGGTGCATGACCCCATGATCCGAGCGATTATTTATATAAACGGGCACCCCACAACTCAAACGAGGGAGATGCAGCACAGTACAGCTTATGGCACAAGAGTCCCCATACTATTTGTTTTTTTCCATTTTGACTATTCCCCCCGTAGAGGGACAGGCCCGACTTAACGTAAGCAGCGGGCCGCTTCCGATCGCCAGAACATCGGAACCAGATCAGATCGGATGGGCCAGAGGCGCTGTCGAATCGGGCCGTCCGGATCGGAACGGGCCCTGCCCGATCCTAGCAACCCCCACGCCCACCCCTAGAGGAAGAAACGCTTGCGTAAACTTAAGCTCTTGACGGCCCGCGCGAATCTCTTGGCTCCGCTCTGGACCCCCCTCCTCGGCGCGCGGAGCGCGCCGAGGGCGGCGCCAGAGGCGCCGCCAGGGGGTCCCAGCGCCGATCCAAGAACTCCGCGCGGAGCTCCGAAAGCTTACGTTTGTGGCAGTTCCTTCTTCCTCTAGGGGTGGGCGCGGCGGCTGCTAAGGGGGATCGGGCAGGGGGCCCATGCCGATCCGGTCGGCCCGATTCGACATCGACTCTGGCCGATTCGATCTGATCTGGTTCCGAATGTTCTGGCGATCGGATGCGGCCCGCTGCTTCTCCATGGCGCTGAGGGCCACCAGACTTAGGTCGGGCATGTCCCCCTACATGCGGATCTTGGACGGATGACAAACACATACAGTCGGGGCGTTGACCTAAGGAACCCCAAATAAGGAACGGTGCCCCTGTTTTCGTGAAGTCAAACTTTGATTGCCTATCGAAAACACCTAAGGATAACCTCAGGCAAGCTGTAAAACAATGAAGGATCACGGAGCCCCTCCCCAACGAGAAGGGCTCCTTCTTCAGCGCCCCGACTGTACCCCAAAAATACCCAAACAGGTTGAACAAATAATCAAAACATCGCCCCCCCCAGTCTATTTCCTCTCACCATTTTTGAATACTCCCCATTCTCCGAGAGAGGGGGCCGGCGGCAGGGGGCGAAGCCCTTACGGAGTAAGAAGCACCCCCCCCAAATACCCCCAAACATATCCAAAACACAATCAACAAATCGCCCCCCAGGGAACATAATCGAGCACCCAAACACAATCGAACACCTAAACATTTTCAAAACACAATTCACCATTCTTGAATACTCCTCCTGTCGAGGGGCACGCCCGACTGCACGCCGGACCCGCCCGCCGAGCGCCCGTCGGGGGGGGGGGGGGGGGGGGCGCGGAGCCTGGGGCCCGGCGCCGCGGCCCGCGCCGGGGCAGGGCAGGCAGCAGGCGCGGCCGCCGGCGTCGCGGCGGGGGGGCGCCTCCCACCTCGGCGGCGGAGAAGGCAGCGCGAGAGAGCGAGAGTGCAGCCCCCCGCCCCCAGTCCCGACCCCAGTCCCCGAACCAGCGATCCAGGGGGTCGGGGCTGGGGGTGGGGGGGGGGGTGGATTTTCTCGGGGTCCAGGAATGGAGAATGCGCCCCTACCCCCAGTCCCGACCCCTTGACTCGCTGGCTCGAGGGGGTGGGAGTCGGGACTGGGGGTGGGGGGTTCTCGCCTTCTCACAGCGGGTCTGACGCAGAATGACACAGCGGGCGACCCGACCCGTCGCTCGGCAGAAGTGTAACCAGGCAGAGGCACGAAGCAGGAGGGCGCGTCGGAAGCAGCGTTGGCTCTCCGCCCGCCCCCTGGAGAGGAGAGGACCATGACACCACTCGGATCCTTGGAGCAGGAAGGCGCCTAGAAAAGGTGGGAATCTGGGAATCCAGAGATACACGTCGCTCATTTCTAACCGTGCTCATTTCTAGTTGTGTTCGTTTCTGATTGCTCCTGGCCCCCCTAATTAGTGGCCAGGAAGAGGCCCAGGATACAAGAAGTAGACATGAACAGATCTTGCCCCCCAAAGAATCAAAGAATTTTCGAAGAATTAGACATGCACAGTGTGCACCTACGTTCAACGACCGTCGTGCACGCGGAGGCTTCCGCGGGTCGCCGGCTCGGCGCGCTGCACTGGCAACGAGGGCGCCCGCGCGCAGCCTCAACTACGCGGGCAGCTGGCGCGCACATGCCAGCGCCACCCACCTCGCTTTTCTGCGTGGGCCCGAGCGCCCTCGCGTCTTCGGAGGCCTCCTAGACGGGGTCCGCGTGGATGGGGTCAGAGTATTGCACCGAGTCGCCAATGCATCGGCGACGTCGGCGATGCATCGGCGACGCCAGCGCGGAGAACGTCGGGCTCCACATGGGGCAGCATTAACGCTGTATCGGCGATGCGGCGCGATGTGGCGCGATCCTCCGACTCCATCTGCTCCGACCCCATCTGGGAGGCCTTGCGTCTTGAACAAATTACGACGGAGGGCTTTGTCCCCAACCAGTGCTTGCACTCAGTGGCCCGTATCGGCTGCACGAAGCGTCACCCTCGGAAAGAGTAACCTTTGGTGCGCGACCTTCAGGGGCGCGGGGAGGTCAAACCCGAGCGCACAAGCCACAGCTACCGCATCGCATCCAACCACCTGGAGACTTTGAAACGTTGATATGAAAAGACACTCTGGCGAAAAACTTATATTTCCTTGCATGCAGCCGGCCCAACAGTGTGGTGACAGGCCGCGTGGTGCCAGGGCGAAGAGCTATCTCCAGGGGTTAAGAGGTTGGGGCCTCTGGGGCCGCGCATCGGGAAAACCAGGTCGGAGGATGTCTGGGCCCGAGGGGGCTTCTCGGGAGCCGCAGGGAGCCCTCCCGAGAAGGCCCCATGCCATGCCAAGGAGCCCCCCCCCCGCTGCACTCTCCGGAGAGCGCCCCCCTCGGTGCCCCCCCTTGTTTTCGGGGCGTCCCCACAGCGTGTGGTGACAGGCCGCGCGGTGACCTCGAGAAATCCCGGGAGGGCCGCGCCGCACGGTCCGGCGCCGCACGGCTCGGGGACCTGCTCAAGGGCAACGATAAGGGGGGGGCGATGGGCTCAGGGTGGACGCGTCGACCCCCCAATCGCCCACTCATCGCCGATCGGGGCCCGATAAGCCACCCCCGCCCAGGAGCGTGTGGATGTGCTATCGGGAGCCTATCACCGAGCTCACTGCGATTTATCGCCGATTCCAGGTGGATGCCGCCAGGCCTTCACAATAGGACCAAGAGAACATCATCATCATCATCATCATCATCATCATCATCATCATCATCATCATCATCATCATCATCATCATCATCATCAGCATCAGCATCAGCATCAGCATCATCAGCATCAGCATCAGCATCAGCATCAGCATCATCATCATCATCATCATCATCATCATCATCATCATCATCATCATCATCATCATCATCATCATCATCATTAATAAAGAACCTGGACCAGACTCTGGTCAGAACAAGCGTAGGCCAAGATCTGCTGCTAACGCTGAAGGAGGCGAGCGTGCTCAGGAAATCCTGTTAGAGTCCGAGACTTTGGGTGGGCGTGGCTTCATGGGGGGGTCATGAATGGGGGGGGTCAGAAACGGTCCCATTTCGTGCCTCTTCCGGGCCCCCTCTGGAGCCCCAGGGGGCTCGTTTAGGTACTGTTTGGGTGCCTTTTCGGACCACCCTCGCCCCCCCCCTCATTCATGAACCCCTCATTCCGCAACGCCCAAAGACTTCCTCCCAACCCATGCTCCGGGGCCGTGCGGGCTGCATGTCTGGACTGGGCGGCCGCGACCCCTGGCCAAGAGCACACCGAGGTGCACACGGCCGCGCTCTCACCCCCCTTGTCCTGGCTGCGCCCTCTCCTTCTCGGGGCTTCCTGGTCGTGCTTTTCTCTCCTACTCCTGGACCCCCTTGTCCTGGCTGCGCCCTCTCTTTCTCGGGGCCTCCCGGCCGTGCTTCTCTTCTACTCCTCGACCCGTTGGTCCTGGCTGCATCCTCTCTTTCTCAGGGATTCCTGGACGTGCTCCTCTCCTACGCCTCGGCGCGCCTCACCACCTCCTGCTACTCTAGAGGGCTCTGCCAAGCTATCTGGTTGCTTTCGGCCTCTGCGGGCCCTCGCCGGGCCCCAGGACCGTCAAAAGAACGACTCGGTATGAAAAGCCGGTCCCGGGGAAAGAGGCCTGGACCTCGGGAGTCCGCGCTGCGACAGAATCACGACGTCGGGGGTCGTCTGGGCTGCAAGAGGGCCTCTCGGGAGCCTCCGGGCCCTTCTGAGAAGGCCCCTGCCATCGCACGAAGCCTCCCTCCGCCCTCTCACGGGGAATGGCTCGAGGGGGGGCAGCGTCGCAAGAGCCCAGACCTCTGGCGCTATGCTTTGTTAAATTCTGGCGCCTCTCCCTTCTTTCGGCCTCTGGGGCCTGTTATCGGGCCCCCAAGGCCATCGGAAGTGGGTCCCGGGTGAAGAGCTACCCCTGGGAACGGGTTGGGCTCTCTTGGGCCGCGATTTGAATAAAGCACGTCAGACGACGTCTGGCTCTAAGAAGGCCTACAGAAACAGCAGAGACGTAATTTCTCGGAGGTCCGCGCGGATTTCTTTGTTCGGCGCTGGACTCCCCTCCCTGGTGCGCGGAGGAGCGCGAAAGGAGCGGCTCCGGAGGCGCCGCTGGGGGGGCCCAGCGCCGATCCAAGGAATCCGTGCTGACCTCCGAGAAATTATGTTCATGCATTTGTATGTTTTGTCCAGAGTCTCAAGAGCCTCTGGGGCCCTTTGCCATAATCCTTTCACGTTACGCGTGGTTCGCGCCCCAAGCTAAACTTCCCTGTACTATGTATGTATGTATATATGTATGTATGCATGTATGTATGTATGTATGTATGTATGTATGTCTGAATGTCTGTCTGTCTGTCTGTCTGTCTGTCTGTCTGTCTGTCTGTCTGTCTGTCTGTCTGTCTGTCTGTCTGTCGGTCGGTCTGTCTGCATGTTTGCATGCATGCATGCACGCACGCACGCATGCATGCATGTATGTGTAGATGTATACATATATATATATACATATCTATATATGTATATATATAATATATATATATATATATATATATATATATAGATCGGTTGGTAACCTTTGGGCCGCCCAAGCGCGCAGGGAAGCCTCCCGAAAAAGCCTGGGAGCACGCTCCCAGGCTTCCGACTACCCTCGTCAACATTGACCTCAACAGTGGCTGGCACGTCATTTCGATGTCGGCGCGCCCCTCAATGTCGACACGCCGCCCCTTCAATGTCGGGGCGAGGGCAAAGATAGTCTGACCGAAGTTGCCTCGAAAGTTTGACGTCGACCGACATTGGAGGGGCGGCGCATGCAAGTACCTCGCACTCATCGATACTCGGCCCCAGATCTTCCGACAAGCAGTTCAACCACGTCAGACATTTTTGAAGTTAATCTTTACGAGGGTTGTAGAGTAGGATGATCCCAGGGTATGCCCAAGAGGCGGGAGCCCACAAAGGACGTACGCGCCCAACCGCGCACATGAACACAGCCCCCCAGTCCGCGAGACCAGCCTCGTGATACGAACGTTCGCGCGATGTGCACTTTCGAAACCAACGTGGATTTCTGTACGTGTACGTCCTTCTGTCGCTCCCGGCACAGGCCCCCCTGACCAGCGGGGGCCTCTCTCAGGGCAGCTCGCCAGGGCCTCGCTTCTGGATGGGCCAGCGGGGCTACGCGAAGCGCGTAGAGTTATGCACATGCACTTGTCGAGCCGAGAATCTGGGGCCCTCCTGGGGGATAGGGGAACGAAAAATGACATAAACATAAAAACTCGGAAGTCCGCGCTGGATTTCTTAGATCCGCGCTGGACCCCCGTCCCTGGCACGCGCGGGCGTGCCAGGGGCGGCGCCGGAGGCGCCGCCAGGGGGTCCCAGCGCCGATCCGAGAAATCCGCGCGGACCTCCGAGCTATTATGTTTATGCCATTTCTCGTTCCCCTCCTCTTAGGTCGGGCATGTCCCCCTACAGGCGGGTTTTGGAAGAAGAAGAAGAAAAATCCCCCACAAATGCCCCCAAATAGTCCAACAAAGATTCAAAACATAGTCCCCAGACAGTTTTTTTGACTATTCTTGAATACCCCTCCTGTAGAGGGACACGCCCGACTTAACCCTACTCTTGGGGGAGGCCCCGCCGTCCCAAGAGGCCCCCCCCCCCCGTCCTCTCGAGAGGCCGCCCCCTCCCTGCGCCGCCCGCCGCCCCCCCCTTCGTTCTGCGCGCGCCGCCGGGGCCTCGCGTCCACCTCGCGCGGCCCCGCCAGGTGCCCCTGCAGCAGCTGGGCGAGCTCCTGCAGGAGAAGGCCACGCCAGCAGGGCGTCCAAAAATGTGAAGGAAGAGAAAACGCCACAAGCATAAACTCTCGACGGTCCGCTGGATCTCCTGGATCTCTCGGATCTGCGCTGGGCCCCCCTCCCTCGCGTGCGGAGCGCGCCAAGGGCGGCGCCGAGGCGCCACCGGGGATCCAAGAAATCCGCGCGGAACGCCAGAAGTTCATGTTAATGTAACTTTTTCTCCTTCGATGCAGGAGAAGATCACCCCAGCAAGGCATCCCAAAAGCAGGCAACAAAAAGCAAGCAGGCCTAGGCCTGAAAGCAGCAGCAGCAGCAGCAGCAGCAGCAGCAGCAGCAGCAGCAGCAGCAGCAGCAGCAGCTGCGGGGTGATATCGATCATCGGTGCAGGGCCTCGGTTTCGTGCCAGAGGTCTACCTGGGGCGCCCCTCCAGGAGCTACAATATGACGGGGGCCCCGCGCAGGGGGGCCGACACTCCCAGAAACCAAATAGCGGAGGGGAAGTGAGTAGGAGGTCGGCAAATGAGAACGTGAAATCCTAGGTATTTATCAGGAGGTTCTTGGGCGTGACAAGGGCGAAAACACCGTCATGCACACTGCAGTGAGTTCTTTTACTTACAAGGGATCGCGGCCGTCCGCACCTACAATGCAACCAGCACTATAATGCGATTCCGGATTGGATTCTAAGGAAGTCTCAGGCAAACTGGCTGCCGGACGGAACGAGCTAAGGCTCATCCCCCCTGTGGGAATACGTTTTGTCTGTGAAAAACAATGTCTTCAAAGCTCAGTAAAGCCTTCTGGCGAATCGTTGTTCGGGATACAAACTAGCATGAACATGAACATTCGAATGTCCGCGCGGATTTATTGGATTGGAGCTGGGCCCCCCGTTCAAAGACGAAACCAGGACCGGGGAAAATTCGGACTGGAACGTGTCGAGGATCTCTGACATCTGGCGGTTCCCGGGGATGTGTCGGTTGCCGCGGCCGCTTCATAATGACAACGGCAGTTATCGTGTTGGGAGGAAGGGACTGGGAAGATACATGTTACGACTGTGAAGTAAGGACATTCAACATACGCGGCAAAATAGATGACACGATCATAACTCCCAACCGCATCCTCCCAATCCGATGATTTTCCAACAATGTCCTTACTAATGCCCAGTTGGGGACATTCGTATACGTAGGCGCACGTGTATGATGATCCTGCTGCTTATGTAGATCTTCGTGTTGTACTTGTACGTTGAGCAATAATGGTCCCAAGTGTAGCTTTGGGGCGGTGCACTTCCTTGTCGCCATAACACATACAATGTCTGGTTAACGAATCTACTGAGCTAGAGAGGTGCCAGCCGGCTGGCCGCCGGGGGGGCGTGCTGGGCGCGCGCGAAATGTGACCTGACAGTAAACATAACGGCACAAGTAACATATCATGCTTATGCGTGAAAGCATGCACCGCCAACCCTCTGTTGGAGAGGACAGGGCGGCGCAGCAAAGACGGCGAAGGAAGCGTTGTAATGACTCCCCCCCGCCGCCTAGACGCAAAGAGACCCTGTGTGCCGATGGGCACACTGGCCAACGCTCCGCGTCCTGGGCGGGCTGCCTGGGGCGCCGAGGATTATGGGGCGGCGGGGCACGTGGGTCCGAGTACGGCGCGTCTCGAGGTGGCCGGCCTTCGTGGCACCCCAAGGCGCATTGGCCCCCGCGGCGCCAACCGCTAAAACGTTTTACGGCGCGCATGGCAGGTGTGCCAGCTAGTCCAGGCAATGCCCTTAGGACAGGCCTGAGCAGGCCCACTTATCCCGCAGTTGCCGCCCGCCCTCGCGCCGCGCCAGCGTGCCAGGGCGCCCATCGCAAAGACGAGTCGCCCTTCCTCACTTGCAGGGCGCTCATGACAGAGCGACGAATCCCCCATCTTCAGCGCCGCGAGTCGCGCCGGCGATCGCCCCAGTCCCAGCGGCTGCCCCGGCCGCGCCAGGTAGACCGGCTGCCGGTGTCCCGCCGCGAGCTACTCCATGACGACTACGGCGCGCCCCCCTCCTGGCCCCGACGGTGCTCTTCATCAGAGGGCGTCTCCCTCTCGCCCCGCGTCAGATTGCGCCGGGGCTGCGGGGCGGCGGCAGGGGCCGCCGTTGACGGCCCTGTTCGCGGGCGTGCAGCTCCCGCAGCGTCGGCGGGCGGTCGCGACGTCGCGCCAGCGGAGGGCGGTCGCGGGCCCCATGGCTGCCGCGCCCGTTCAGCTGCGGGCCCCGCCCCCCGCCATTTGCTTGCGGCGGCGGGGGGGGGGCCCGTGGCCAGACTCCACGGAGCTGCCCTTTTCCGTCGAAGTCGTCCGCGTAGACCGTGGGCGCGCCGTAGGCTGACTGGTCCGGGGGCGCTCGCCGGCCGTGCGACCGCGTTGCTGTTCGGGCCCCGACGCAGCGCCCGGAACATAGCCCCGAGTCGCAGGTGGTCCCCGCGAGCGATGCCTCGGACCCATCGGCTGTGGCGCGTCCGACTGGGGCCGCATCTCGAGCGCGATCAACTCAGCGTCCACGATGTCCCTCAATAGTCGCCGACTCGCCATGCGCCGAACGGCAGAAGGATCAGGTGTCAGGGGTTGCGCCGTGGCGCCGGTGAGATGTCCTCCTTCGCGCTGGTGAAGATGTTGGAGGCATTCCTCGATGTTCGGGATGGCCGTCTGCGCAGACCGGTCCACGGCGCAGTCGTGGGTGATGGTGACGGATGCCTTGTGCGCACGCACGATCGTCAGCTTACTTGAGCCGCGCGGAGTTGTCGTCGCCAGGCCCCCCCGCGCAGCGCGGCTGCGCGTAGTCCTTCGGCCCCTCAACTTTTGGATCGCCGCGCGATGTGTCTGCAGATCGAGCCCGCCGTGAGCCATGTAGCACTGGTGTAGGGTCGTAATCTGCGAGGGTCAGTGGCTCCGCCCGCGGCTGCTTCACCTTGGTTGGCATCTCCAGCGAAGTCTGCTCAGGGCTGGAGTCTGGTGCGTGGTGCGCGTGGTTGAACTTCGTCGCATACTGAATCATGGTGTGCTCTTGTTCGGTGAAATCCATTTCTCGTCTGGCCGCCCATGGGCGGCCACCGCGGCGTGATCGCGCCCAGTCCTGCGGGCGCAATCCTGGGCGGTGTGCTCGGGCCCGTGCATCTCGGGCACTGCCGAACGTTGTCGGCATGTACTCGGTGGACCGCGGGCCCGGGTCGCTCTTGTCCACTCGCCTCGCCCCCCGCGGGCGGCCAATCCGCGGGCTGCCAACGCTCGTCGATATCATTGTGCATGGACTTCTTGCGGAGGCTCATTGGGGGCACGTCGGTCATGTCTCTGCCTCTGACCCATTCCTGCCGGCCGACGGATGGCGCGTCCTTTCCACGGCCCCCGCAGCCCTAGAGGTCCCACGCGAACGCCTCCAAGACAGAGTGGTCGCTCTGATCAACGTCAGTCTTGGTTCTGCGACAGAAGTAAGGCCACCGCGTTTCCATTGGCGCGGCTAGATGCCGCCCCGTCCCCTGCTCGCCTAGGAAGGCCCAGTGCTTGACCCACCGCTTCGCGAACTTCCTCGCCGGGGCAAGCTGGGTCGGGTCGCGCCGCAGCATGCGCGGGTCGTCGGCGGACTTGGAGGGCCAGGCGAGGCGGGTCAAAGTGTTCGACTAAAACGCCGTCTTGCCTTCCAACGCCAGCGTCCGCCTGTGGGCGGCACCTTCTGGGTTGTCCTGCGGCCACTTCTGAGTCGTCTCGTTGACGTTGGCGTCCGTTCCACGTTCGACTTGGCTCGATCTTGGCGCCTCCTGCCTGGGGCCGGCAGCGTAGTTGCCGGTCCCGGAGGCTAATCTTCCAAAAGGAAATCTTCTTCAGTCCGAGATCCTGCAAATCTTGACGCGGCGCGGCACCGCGCGGCGGGGCGGTCTCGGAACCGCCGGCGACTTCGAGACGACGGCGGAAGCAGAAGACGCTGCTCAATCTGTTGCGACACCCCGCTAAGCAAACCAAGAAGCGATCGTCTCTCCATGGCGGAGGAAGAATCATAATCATCTTGTTCGAATTCCATCGTGGAAAACCGGAAATCTTTATCGTCTTCAGTTCGTGCGATCTGCCCGTCGCTCTTGACCCAGTCGACGCGGGCTGACTCGGCCCGGGAAATGGGCGCGACACCGCGGGGCCGATGATCGCGCGCAAACGCCCGTGATATTCCGCGCCCGGAATCGCCGACAATCAACCTGAATGCCCGGCGAGCCTCGGGCCACAAAGGGCGAGACTGCGTGATCAACGCCCCGTCGGGCCTGGCCCAAATTCCGAATCGAAAACCTTCGGGCCCCGGCCGTCGCCGTTGAAATCCCGCGCCCGTCCGTCTGGGCGCAACTTGTGGCAGACCGCCGTGGCCCTCGGGGTGCTCGACAAGCATGTTCCGCTCGACGAGCCCGGCGCCGCCGCGCGCGCCCTTGGGAGGCCCAGTTCGCGTAGTGGCCGGAGACCTGGTGGCCAGCGCACCTCGAAGGGAGGAAATTGACGCGGCGGTGCTGCGGTGCCCCCTCAAGAGCCTGCTGCGGCAAGGCGAGCGCGCCGTTCGCGGACAGGAATATGGCGGACTCGTCGAGCAAAGTAATGAAAGACGCGTGTATCTCGCGGCAGCGGCGCTCGCTGCGCGCGTGCTGAATCTTAGGCAGCGCCGCCCGGATTGAGTGTCCCTTGCTCGCCCGATTATAGAGCTGCTTCAGTGCTGGTGGCACGTCACCTCCGCCGTCGGCAACGCGGTTGCCCTCCGGTCGCTCTCGGCCGAAGCCCTCGTCCCACTATTCTGGCTTGGATGTGGGATCGTCTTCGCCGTCTGCGATCCTGACGCCCAAGATCTGGACTGTGCTCTTTGGTGGGGTGGCGACGGCGTGCATGGAGCGCGCCCAAACGCGGTCGAACCCCGCAATGCCCCGCAAGGTCGATCTAACTGACCGGCGCCTGGTTCCCGCCCAGCCTCCTGAACGCGCGGAAAAAGCTGTGTCTCAGCAAGCTCAGGCTGAGGCTCACCAACCTCGCCGCCTCTTCCGCCGACGCGCCGCTGATCCGAGCAAATTTGTTGCGGCCCAGCTGGGGGACAATGGGTGCGAGGTGGTGCGAAGTCCCGAGGAGGTCGCTCGGCAAGACGGTGTTATGCCTCGCCTGGAGAGAACGATCGGCCGCCTTGCGCTCGTTGATCGTCAGACCACGGAGGTGCTCGAAGAGGGCGTCGCCCACGATGTCCCCGTCGTAGTTCGGCAACCCATCACTGGCCCGCTCATGGAACGTCCTTGCCGAAAGCGCTGCAAGGCCTTCGTCGTGTGCGGAACCACGCTCACGCGTGAGTTTGGTGTTTTCGCGGCGCGAGCAGTCGGCCAGGTCGTCCTCGTCCGATGACAACTAACTGACCGATCGCGCGTACCTCGGAAGTGCTCGAGCCTGTCGTGCACCACATCACCTTGTTCCTCCGCTTCCCCATTGATCACCTCGTGCTGAAACTGCAGTCCTCTGGGCGAGGACGGCGCCACCGCCAGCTTGAGGCACGAGCTGGATCGAGGCTGGGAGGAGGTACGTGGCCTCTTCGTCGGCGCCCTCATTTTTTACATCCTCTTCCTCCCCTTTAGCTCGGGGTTCGCTGACATCGTCAGCCACTTTCCCACCTCCCTCCTCATCCGCATCCTCCTGCTTGTCCGCCTCCGCCTCCATATCGTTTGCTTCCAGTTCGGCGTCCTCGGTCCTCGTCGTATGCCATTATTGTTTCTTTGTTCACGTTTTCCTTTGGGGTCCGTGAGGCTCACCTTGGTCTCGGCCCCGTGCGGGACAACCTTCAGCGGAGGTGCTTCGTCATGTCCCGCACTGCCTCCAAAGTCCCTATGATTCATGACTCAGGATCGGAGGCTCGACGTCCTCCTTCCTGGTCGACTATTGGCTCTGAATCTGCGCCGATCCTTGCGCAGGGTCACTCGCGACGCAACCATGAGACGATCCCACGTTGTCACGCCTTCATCCAAAATTACTTGCTCGGTTCCAGTGCCCCCGAAGCTTGTGATGCAGTCACGAGACCTCGTGGCGAATAGTTCGGCTGATAACCAACTGTTTGTTTTGTAAAACTAGAATGGTGGATATTCGTATGCGTAAGCATGTGATTATGATGGCTATGCTGCTGATGTAGTTCTTCTTCACGTACTTGTACGTTACGCAGTCATGGTCCCAGATCTAGCTTCGGGGCAGTGGACCTCCTTGTCGCCATGGCTACTATGGTACCCAGCCAGCGAATCTACAGTACTAGGTAGGCGTAAGCCGGCCGGCCGACGGGAGGACAGGCCGCGCGCGCGAACTTTTACCCGACGGCAGAAACTAACTGCAACAGTAAGCTATCATGTTTATAAGCGAAAACAGGCGCCGCCAACCCTCTGTTGGAGGGGGCACGGCGGCGCGGCAAAAAAGGCGATGGGGAGCGTTGATAATGACTTTCCTTTATGGCACAGAGCTCTGGAGCGCTTTGGGGCCCTTTGTCCCGGTCCCAGCCCCGCCCGGCCTGCCCTGGCGCCCAGAGAAAGCCAGGAGCGCCGCCCTGGGGGGCACATCGCCGATCTTCGAATATCTGCGGTTGTTCTTCTGTTTGCTGTTTTTGTTCTGCTTCGTCCTCTTCTTGCGGCCCCCCCGAGATCTGACGGCGCGACACGAACTAAAACATCGTGAACAATAGCGGTCCGAACCCTGGATCCCACCTTTCTGTCGCGTACCTCGAGTCGGATGGATCTGTGAGGGCCCCAGGGACCGAAGCCTGCCGAAATCGCCCGGCTCGAAAACATTGCGGCGCCCAGATCTGAAGCTCCTAGCGCGTGTGCAGGGGGGCGCGTGAAAATCTGGGCCTGGAGGTCAGTAAATGATCCCTGGACCTGCTCGGTATTCGTCCTGTCAAATATTTCAGGGCGCATCCAACTTTGGCGACGAGGGCGCCCCAAGTCGAGCAGGGACCGACCGTACTGGCGTTTCTATAGGCCTACCACGACATGTTCTGAGAACCCCAAAATGTTCTAAGAACAAAAACAGTGTTCTTAGAACGTCAGCCCGACGTGTTAAAACAAGACAGTCTCAACCAGAAATGTTCTAAGACAATTTCGTGGACATCACAAAAGGTTCTTATAACATTGCTTGGTAGGCCTATAGGCACGCCAGGACACTTCGCCACTGCTTGACCCGGAGGCTCACAGAGGGCGAAGAGCGTCCAGGCTCCATCCTCGAGCCTTCTCCTTGCGGCTCCTCGCGCGTGTGCAGAGGAGCGTAGCCCCCCCCTCCCGCCAGCTGCAGGTCGCGCACCTTGCTGGTCCAGAGATGGGGTCCTGAGGGATAGGGTTCCTGAAGACGAGGTGCCTCAAACCATGCAAATCCAACCTTGAAGCCCCTGCCTACTCATAGGGTCCCATCCCTCAGGACCCCATCTTCGAACCTTTGGGTGACGCAAAAGAGTGTCCAGCTGAAAGGGGGTGGTGCAATAAAGTTGGGGCACTTGCGCTGCAAATCTACTGCGCCGGAGAAGTGTATTGCATTGTATTGAAGTAGTGTTTTGCACGCGAAAATGCAGCAACACATTTGCGCCCCGACATGTATGGCACGCCCCAAGTGTATTGCAACCCCACAAGCCTATCGCACCAGCAATTCTGTTGCACCACCCCCTTGTCGCTGGACCCCCTCTTGGGCCAACCCGAGAACCACCGAGCACCGAGTCGGCCAGCGAGTTGCCCGCGCGTTGGGCGGCGACCTCCGGCGGCAGCGCCTCCGGCGCGCTCGCCCGCCAGGCCGCCGAGGCGCGGGCGGCTGCCGCCGCGGCCAGGGCGAGTGCCAGCAGCCGCCGCGTGCCGCGGAGCGCCCCGCGCATGGCGGCGGCGCCATCCTTTTTTTTTTGGGGGGGGGAGGGTGCTGAGCAGGGGCCGACCGCTCGGCATGTAGGCCCACCACGACATGTTCCACGACATGTTCGTAGAACCCGAACATGTTCTAAGACCAAAAGCCGTGTTCTTAGAACATCCGCCCGATGTGCTAAAACAAAACGGCTCCAGCCAGAAATGTTCTAACCTTTCGTGGAAACCACAAGAGGTTCTTAACATATTGTTTGGTAGGCCTATAGGCACGCCAAGACGCTTCGCCACTGCTAGAGTGAGGGGGAACGCTGCGGGAAAGATTGCGCGACGTGCGCTGGCAGCAGTGCAGCGATGATGGCAAGGTCCTGCTGTACAGTGGGGGCCCGACTTCGAGAAAACCTCCACAAGAGAAACCCAACCCTGAGACCACAGGGCGTCCACCGACTTTCGGTGGGGGGACGTCACGCTGTCCATGGCACCACCATCGAAACCCAAGAAACCCCGGGCACCCTGGAGGCGAGCAGGGTGTTTCTTGGCATGGGCCCCCAGTAGCCCTGGACTCGGGCAGAGGGGGGGGTGAGGAGGAGGGGAGCAGTGGCGGCGCCATGCTTCTGCGGAGTGCAGAGGCAGAGCACGCCCTCGCTGGCCTTGAAGCCCTCCGATCCGTGCGTGGCTTTATGTTGCCCCCATCGTACTTCAGGACCACGTCCCAGAAATATTTTCGAGCACCCCAAAAATGATCGAAGCGGTGTCGAGCGAGTATCGCCTCCGAGAGCCCGACACGCGGAACCCGTCGAGTTTCGGTACTTTCTTGGTGCTCGAAACTCTTTCTTTCTGGTGATCAAGGCTAAAATAAGTTGAAACACCATAAGCGCGGCCATTCTTCCACGCCAGGCGTTTTCGCTCAGTTTCGGGCCCCGGCTCGGAGCGCGGCACAGAAACATTTGGGGGGGGGGGTCCAGGGCTCTCTGGTCGTGATGTTTAATAATGCTGCGCGCCGTCGGATCTCAAGCTCCTGCAGAATTGCCGAGGCTGCTGCACGTCACCCAATGGGCGGCTCTAGCACCCGCGGGTGAAAGCTCACCCGCGGGCGAACTTCTTCAAGCTACACTTCCCCTGATGGAAAACCTTCCCCGGGCAGTCTACTCCAAGGAAACGAATCCCGGGGACGGGTAAACAAACTCCCTGGGTGAACTAGCCGTGTGTAGACTCGCCGAGCTAACTTTCCAGATCCTCGCTGACCTCGCACGAGGCCCCCACGAGAGCTGCGAAAAGGTCCCAAGAGGGCCCCAAGAGCGCCCATAAGCGCCCCAACAGCGTCCCACGAGGGCCCCAAGAGGCGGATTGCCTCCTCCTCCTTCTCCTCCTCCTCGTCCTCCTCCTCCTCCTTCCCCGCCTCCTCTCCTCACCCCCCCGTGGGCCCCAGGGGTGGCCCGAAGAGGCCCTCACAGGCCACTCCCTTGCTCCCAGAGTTCTCTCCGTTCATCCTGATTGCCCGCTTTGTTTCACTATATTTGTCACTTCGTGCATTCGCCCATCGGCCCATCAGCTCTCACGGGCACTGTTTCTGAAAGGGCTTGGGGGGATACTTCTTGGTTCGCAGGCGCGCAGCGGGTCGGACGCAGGGCAGGCAGGGGCAGGCTGTGCCATCTGCGAAAGGAAAATCAAAGCAACGAGCGACGCCCGGTGCGGCGCGAGACTCAGCGCGGCTAAAATGGCGCGAAGCGGCACCAGGAACACGAGGTGGGTGCCGAACGGGAAGCCGAGCGATGAACCCACCGAAGATGTGGTGCAACCCACGCTGCACTAGGATGGCGGTGACGGGAAGCCCAGGTACCCCACGCAGCCTTCCCGAACCCACGGGCCTTGACGGCGGCGAAAGATGAACCAGGCGCCCCTCTTACCCAGGAAGGTGGAGACGCAGGCGGCGATTCAGTGGCTTGTGGGGATACTGTTGGTCTGCGGGCTCGCGAAGCAAGTCGAAAGCCGTCCGATCACTAGCTGTCGTGGCGTGCCCGCGGCGGCAGCCTGCCCGTGCATGGCGCACGGTCGTCGATAGGATGAGCGTATCGGCGATTTCGGAAACCCTGAACTCAAAAGCACATTCATCTTTTGTGGGCGCAATTTTTACTACCGCCGCCTTCCGCCGCCCTTCCGCTGGCTTCCGCCGGCGGAGGCGGCCTTGTGTCACTTCCGCCGCCCTTCCGCCGCGGAAGAGCTGCCAACTCCTTGTATCCTCGAAGGCAAAGCCTTTTTCGGAATGCCCCATATGATGTCGTGATAGGATTGGCTCAGGATGCGTTCCAGGCTGAGCTGCCCCGATGCGCAACACGCAGCACGTGGCGCATCGATGCGATGCGGAGCTCCACACGCAGACTGAATGCGCAGGTCTGGCGCGATGCGCTTGCCAAATCGTGGGCCGACACGGTGAGCCGACACGCAACGTGTCAACACGGACGCTTTGAGCACGGCACGTGTTGCGTTTCACGACGGGCGTATCAGGGCAGTGAACCGTCGGTCGGAAGAGGTGTATAGAACCATGAAGAAGGAAGGCGGGAATGCGTTAGAAGTAGATTGGGCTTCCGCCAGCCAACTGAAGATGAAGGAACAAAAAAGAACAACGCTCGTTGATTGAAGTGGGATGGCGCTCAATATAGGTTGGGATCTGGGAATTCAGAAATACCTACCTTCAACGACCGGCGTGGAACGTTCCAGGATTTCCAGAATATCTATCGGAGGCCTGGAAATGGGCACCAACACCAACACAGGGGGTTTGCCTCCACAGGGGGAAGGTGATCTTAGATTTCGGTGTTGGTGGTAATATTTCGACCACCTTGGAAGCCAGAATATTACCACCATCACCGAAATCGGGATCTTCTTCCCTCGGCACGTCGCCGATATTGGTGTTGGTGTCAACCTCTAGGCCTGCGAATCTAGCGGCCCTCGTTTCTGCAGCCCGCGAACGTTTCGCGCGCTCGCGTGTCTGCGCGGCTCCCGTGCAGGGCTGGTTGTTGTCTCGCGCATGGCCCGCTGGCGCCGCTGCGCAGGAGCCGCGTCGGGCCGGGGAGGCCACCTCTCCTGGTCCTCGTCCTCTTCCCCCTCCCCCTCCTCCTCCGCCTGCTCCTCCTCCTCCTCCTCCTCCTCCTCCTCCTCCTCCTCCACAGTTCCACTACTACTCTCCTCTCTCCCCTGATGACGTCCAGGAGACGTCCGGCCCCCCTCCGCTGATTGATTTTTGACACGCGCAGGATTCCCGGGAGTTGGGTTTTCGTGCTCCCGCGGAATCGCTGGCCTCATTTTCGGGCTTCCGCTCGTTCTGGAGCGTGCTCCCGCTGCAGCGCTGGCCACATTTCCGCGCTTCCGCTCGTTCCAAATCGTGCTCCCGCTGCAGCGCTGGCCTCATTCCCGCGCTTCCGCTCGTTCCGAATCGTGCTCCCACTGCAGCGCTGGCCTCATTCTGCGCTTCCGCTTATTCCGAATCGTGCTCCCGCTGCAGCGCTGGCGTCATTATTCCCAGTGCCATGTCACGGCATGCAATTTTTGTTATGTGGTGTTCCGCTGTGCGATGTCATGCCCCCAAATCTAAAAATTTCCCCCCCCCCCGCCGAAAAAACATCGGAAGTGATCACACATGCGGTGTCGATTCGTTGTTTTTTTGGGCCGCAAGAGCTCCCCCACTTTGGGGCGTCGTCGTTTTCAGACAGTATCAAGCGGGAGCTCCGTTTCTGCTTTGAGAAGGCGATGTTGAAAGCAGAGCCAGCGGGTGCTCTCCATCAGCCCCGCCTTGTGCGAAGCCTTTCGGATGCCCAAGGAGCTACGGTGTGGGGCCCGACCGCAAGAAACCTTCCACAAGAAACCCAACCCTGAGACCCCAAGACGTCCATTGATTTTTGGTGTGGGAACGTGACGCTTTCCATCGCCAAACCATCGATACCTTAGAAACCCAGGGCACCCTGGAGGCAAGCAGGGTGTTTCTTGACATGGGCCATGGGCCCCCACTGTAGTCATGGAGCCGCGACTCCAGACCGGCCCAGGCCTCTATAAAACGATCCACTTTACCCTCCAAAAAACCCGGCGCCATGCCATGACATGCTGTGCGGTGTTGTGTTCTGCCCCGATGCGCGATGCCATTCTTTGCGTTGCAAGGCTTTGTGATGCAATTCTTCACTACGCAACGCCATGCCATGGCATGCTACGCACTGCCGTGCTCTTCTACGCCCTGCTATGCCGTGATCTACGATGTATTGTGCACCCTCTGGGGATCATTGCTCTGCTCGACATCCGACTGTGCGAATACAGAAGAGATCTACGCCATGGTGAGAGATGGGAGGGAGGGGTAGTACGTCAGATAAGACGCGAGCGCCCCTATCTTGTCCTCTTCCTCCTCCTCATCCTCGTTTTCCTCCTCCTCCTCTTCCTCGTTCTCCTCCGCCTCCTCCTGCTCTTTCTCTTCCTCCTCCCCCTCGTTCTCCTCCCCTCCTTCTCCTCCTCCTCCTCCTCCTCCTCCTTCTCCTCCTCCTCCTGCTCCTACTGCCCCTCCTCCTCGTCCTCGCCTTCCTCCCCCTTCTTTCCCTTCCCCTCCTTCTCCTGCCCCTCTCCCTCCCCCTCCCCCTCCCCCTCGTCCTCCTACATGTTATCCTCCTGCTCCTGCTGCTGCTCCTGCTGCTGCGGGTGGTGGTGGTGCTGCTGCTGCTGCTCCTCCTCCTCCTCCTCCTCCTCCTCCTCCTCCTCCTCCTCCTCCTCCTCCTCCCCCCTGCGTGCTCCTCCTCCGCCTCCTTCCGACTTCTACTCCTCGCGCGTAGGCGGCGTAACCATGTCTAGTCACTCATCTCGGCCTGCTGCAGCATCTGGGCACGTGCAGCACGTGCAGGCATTTCCAGAGACGTCGAGGGCCAGCGGCTATGGGCATGAATACAGAAGGCAGTGACTAGCCTCTGTCCACCCAGGTCCCGTTCCTCGTCCGTAGAAGAACTGGCAAGGCCAAGCTGGGAACCCGACGTCCTGGACACCTTCCTCC